GGACCCCACGCGCCTCTCCCCCAGCTGATGCAGCAGCAGGCCGCGCTGGTCGCTGCCCACTCCGCCTACCTCAGCCCCATGGCCACCATGGCAGCCGTGCAGATGCAGCAGATGGCCGCCATCAACCCCAGCGCCCTCATTGCCACGCCCATCACCCCCATCACCCCCTCCTCAGGTAGGCTGGGGTGGGGCAGGGCCAGCTGGGGGCGGGGCTGCTCCCTCTGGGGGGCGGGGCCACTCCAATTGGGCCAATCCAGGGACAGGGCTGCATTGTGGGGAGTGGCCAATCCATGTGGGTGAGGCTAACCCTGGCAGGGGTGGGGCAAGCTCTCAGTGAGCGGGGCTCATTTTGAAGCCAACTCCCAGTGGGCAGAGATGCTGGGTGGGGTGCATCTGAGGGGGTGTGGCCAACCCCTATGGGCGGGGCTATTCCTGCCTACCCCAGCAGGGCCTGTGGGGGTGCTGGGGCCTGGGGGCATTGTGGCACTGATGACACATGCCCCCCCGCCTCCACAGGTACCAGCACGCCGCCCACCATCGCCGCCACACCGGTCTCGGCCATCCCGGCCACGCTGGGCGTCAACGGCTACAGCCCAGTGCCCACGCAGCCTGCAGGGCAGCCCGCCTCCGATGCCCTTTACACCAACGGTGTCCACCCCTACCCAGGTGCCTGATGCCCCCACCCCTGGCCCTGGCATGTCCCTGTGCCCGCACCCCCACCCTGTAACACTCTGCCCGCTTGTCTCCCCCAGCACAGAGCCCAGCCGCCCCCGTGGACCCCCTGCAGCAGGCCTACGCCGGGATGCAGCACTACACAGGTCGGTGCCCCTGGGTGGGCACAGGGCATGGGGCAAGGCTGGGGGCACCAGGCAGGACTGTGGGTGGGGGGGAGTGGAGGGGGGACCCAGGAGGGTCCTGGGGCTCATGCCCATGTCGCCTCCCTCCCTGCAGCCGCCTACCCCGCCGCCTATGGGCTGGTGAGCCCAGCCTTCCCGCAGCAGCCAGCCATCATCGCCCAGCCACCCCCGCAGCAGCAGCAGCAGCGGGAAGGTGAGTGGCGCCTGGGGGCCATGTCCACCTGCCCACCCCAAACCCCCACATGGCCCCAGCATCCCCTAGGCTGTCCGCACTGCCCCCCAGTGCCTCCCTGGCCAGCTCCCCCCCACGTCTTGATCTCCCACATTGGAGGCTGCCGGGTGCTAGAGCCGGGGGTTTAGAGGAGAGGATCTAGAGTGCTCCAGATTGGGGGGCACTCTAGAACTGGAGGGTTGAGAGCAAGGACCAAGGGTCTTCTAGAGATGGGGATTTGAGCATGGGGGGCTGGAGGGAGGGGTTCGAGAGAGGGGATCTTGAGCGCCGTAGAGCTGGTTCTGGAGTGGAGGAAGGACCTGGACGAGAGCATCCAGCAGGGCTGGGGCGGGGCAGGGGCTGCGGGTCAGGAGTGAGGGGCTCCAGCTGAGGTAGGGGCTATTCTAGAGCTGGGTTTTTAGAGCAGGGGTAGTAGAGGGCTCTAGATGAGGATTTACAGCGGGATATCCAGAGCACTATACAGCCAGACCTCTAGACTGGGGGCCCACAGTGTCCAACGAGGGTCTAGAGCAGGGGACACGCAGCGATCTAGGGTGACCCTGAGCTGGGGTCCTAGCACGGGGGCTCTGGGGGCTTGGGGGCCCGTGGCTGGGCTGGCAGCGCTGACCCCGCTCTGCTCCACAGGCCCCGAGGGCTGTAACATCTTCATCTACCACCTGCCCCAGGAGTTCACGGACGCCGAGATCCTGCAGATGTTCCTGCCCTTCGGCAATGTCATCTCCGCCAAGGTCTTCGTGGACCGTGCCACCAACCAGAGCAAGTGCTTCGGTGAGACCGGGGACGCAGGCAGGGGCAGGCGGGGGGGGGGGGGGGGGGGGGGGGGGTGTCAAGCGGACACTGACCCCCGTCCTGTCCCACCACAGGGTTCGTTAGCTTCGACAATCCGGCCAGCGCCCAGGCCGCCATCCAGGCCATGAACGGCTTCCAGATCGGCATGAAGCGCCTCAAGGTGCAGCTCAAGCGGCCCAAGGATGCCAACCGGCCCTACTGAGCCAGGTGGGTGCTCTGGGCCCACCCTTGGCTCCATCCCTGGCCCCACTCACAAACACACACATGCACACATGTATAAGTATACATACGTGTAAACACTCATGTATGCACATTCACATGCACACGTGTATGCACACACCCACCTCACCTGTGTGGTGTTGGCTTGTGGGCTGGTCGGACCCTGGGGCGGGTGTGGGGGCCGCAGGACACCTGGGCTCACCCGCAGCTCCAAGAGGGGAGTGTGTGCCTGCGGCAGCGTGCATGAGAGCCGGGCAGGGCAGACACCATGACGCCTGGGTTTCTTTCCTGTGGGCACCCGTGCCAGGCGGGGAGGGTGGGGGGGGGTGTGCTCAGGACTGCCCTGATGCAGCTAATGAGCGGCGCTAATGAGCATCCTTCTAAATGTGCCCCCGTCTCTCTCCTGCCTTCTCCCCCCAGGTCCGGAGCCCGGTGGAGGAGGGGACCCCCCAGCCCTGCCCCCCGGCACTGCCCCTACAGCTCCAGCCTGGGGGACATGGGGAGGCGTGGCCCAGCCTGACCACCCCCAGCTGCTGGGGGCTTTGACTCCCCGCAGCCCCATGCCCTGATGCTAGCCAGGCAGAGACTGTGGGGGGACAAAGGGGTGGAGGGGAAGGGATCGTGGCCCTGCTTTGCATCCTCCCAGCTATGGGGCAGGTGGGGAGTGGGATGACCCCAGCCCTGCCCCCCGCCCTCCCCCGCGCGAGCCTGGGCCCAGGCAGTTCAGCCCCGCCTCGGAGCCGCCTTCTCAGCAAACAGGACCAAACCTGGCTCCGAGCCCCGGGGCCCTTTGCGGGGGTGGGGAGCGGGGGGAAACTGAGCGCCAGGGGCAGCAAGGAGGCCGAAGCGGCCTGCATCTGCCCCGGTGCCAGCTCAGTGCTCACGGTGGGGGCTCATTGTGGCTCTGCCCCCCATGCCCACCTCACCACCAACACCCCCATCCTGCTGCTCCAGGCTGAAGCCTCCCCAGCCCCTTGCCCCCACTGACAAACCGCTGCCCCCCCCCGTCAGCTCGGCACCCTCAGCCTGGCGTGGGGGCACGACCTGTGGTGCTAGCCGCCACGCCTCCGCCCCCCTCCCCCGG